AACGTCATTTGACTCTCTCTTGTCTCAAAGTTGAGTTTGACGGCTCTTCTGCTACGAGTATAGTAACTGCTCGTAGAAAACTCATTTCATTCTCGTTGTTGTCGTTGTTTACCGCAGAAGCTTTGCTTCATTCTGCAGACTTTTCTAACCGACCGATCTAGAGTTTTATTTCAATCGAGGACCTTATTAGACCACGCTTTTCGGACTAAGATTTCAAACCAGTCTACTTAATGATGAGACGCTTAAGAGCTGGTGAAGGGATGAATGTTTACTGTTTATGGGTATTCGAATTCGTTCTTTACCTCCAAGAAAACCCATTGATCCCACAGATTTTGGATCTACAGAATATATTACTCCTTCCAATTTAAAAACTTGTCCCTCTAATTTAAAAATTGCCTGCCATTGCAACCAAGATGCCAACGCAAACCCCACATGTGTTAGCTCCACGAAAATAATTATGATTGCTTGAAAAAAAGCTGACTCATCAGCTCACGGAAATCGTTTCCCAGCTCGGGATCGCAGACGACCTTTTCTCGGCGGGTAAAACAGGAGCCAAAAAAGTTGTCTACCCTCGAAGGCTTGGTCATAGTTTAGGACGACCTATATAATAGGAGCGACTGTAAGGGCCGGTTATTTAAAACAAAGCCCAACTTAGGCCGAGGTTTAAGACATTATTGGGCATCCAGATCTCTTTCTACTTAAGTGGGTTATTTTAACCCTGTGGTGACGGCCGGCGAGTAGCGAAAAAGCAGCATTTTCCACCAATTCCTATTCCTTGGACTAGTTTTCAGCTAATTAGCTTAACTATGAGGAAAAACGAGTTTTTCGAGAAAAAAAGACATATTTTCCAACTAATCTGACGTAATTAAACAGCTTTTTTGTTTTTCATGCATGCGCAAAAGCCAAAATTTGGACTTCTTTTGGCGAATCTATTTCGATCTTTCTCTCTCGCTGCCTTTTTTTTCCTTCTTTATTGGCGGTTTTGTTGCCCACTTTATCGTCTTTCTTTTGCATGAAATTGTGGCTGGCTAACTTTTTAGGAAAGGGACAAAGTTAATTTTCAAGGAGTAGTATGTAAACAGCGAAATTGGCAGTGGAATTTTCCCCAAAATTTTACCTTTTTTGTGAGTGTAACTGTCAGAGTTAGTCAGAATATCCCAAAACGAGGTATCGCTGGAAAGGCCTATCTTTGCTGACGTTGTTGCTTACCAAATTATTAACAACAACGTACTGAAAACTAAATGGGTCAGGGGAAATTGTATACATTGTACCATATGGGGACGTATACGACACTAGTCTACCCTGTTTGCTGCCATGAAACTTTCACCATAACCGGTGTTAAGATAAGAGCGTTGAAAAAATTGAAAATGGCTTAGAACACGGTTTTGTCAACCACCGACTAAACTTCATTTAAATAACCGGCCTTTGACTTTTTTAAGACCTTTCAGAAAAGTTCATTTGAAGGTCCACTGGCTTCCCTGTAGAATTTGACTTCAGTTGAGACTATTTCACGAAAAAATTAGTTGAAAATCACGAATATCGGGTAAAAGATTTTAAAGTTCACGTATCACGACAAGCAAGCCAGTCACAGTTCACGGGTTTTAATTTCGTATTTTCACCTTTCACGAAAATTAAAAACACTTAATCACGTAACCCCTTTACCCCCCTCTGCAAGCGATGTTTATGAACGGCTGAAAACAAAAGGGAAAGCGATGAAAATTAAACTTTTGAGACTACCAACAATCAATAAAGAAATATAATTCGGTAGAACATTTATAGAGACAACAATTTTCATTCACGAAAACAAATGAGTATTTAAGTGTCTCTAAGAATCCTTAAGTCTTTACTAGTAAGCATAAAGATTAAGTTTATGTTTTAAGCCGCCGGTTTCCAGGTGATTTGCTGTTTTCAAAGATGAACTCACGACAAGAAAATCGCTCAAAGCTTTCTTTCTACAGCCAAAATTATAACTAAATATTCTTCGGAAAGTCTTTTCTTTCTATTTACGGTGAATTAATATCGACTAAAGGCTTTTTAAAGTTCTGTAAGCTTAAGCTTATATCAAACCTCATACTACAATAGGTCATATCAGTGTCTCCCCCCAGTCAAATCTTAATACAAACGTGCATAAACTAGCTTCATAAACTGCTGCGCTGGACTTCATGAAATTAGATATAAATACAATAATTTCTCAGGCTTACCATATTTCGAGATGCAGCTCCTGAAAGCTATCAAGTAAGGCAAGGATGGCTTGAGCCTTTATAATTCTCGTACGCATCCAGCAAGGTGAGAAACAAAAACGATGCCATCCGAAATCGGATTATCGGCTTTGACAAGCGACGCATTTCTCAACCAAAAAAACAATAAATAAACCAGCCACGATAAGAGAAGACTCTTGATAGCAGCTGTATTTCATTTTGTACATCCAGTGGAAAAAGACAGTTAAAAACATCACAAGCTGAGTCAAAACTCTGTCAGCTTCAGCTGTCAAAGGTAAACCACTTTCAAGATGCTGCACAAATTTTACGCTTGAACTCACCTGTCAAATTTGAACCAATCAGAGCATAAACATTGGACGTGGAGCGTGACCAACACGTGACCATGGTAAGAAAAAGTCTTCCCGCCTGTATTGTAAAAAAACTGGCTGAATTTTTGCGTCTGAGGTCAATTTGAAATCAAAATCGAAAAAGTGCGGGGCGATGCTGAGATAAACACGACATATTTGATATGAATTTAAAAATAGTAAACGTGAGCCTGCGATCACCTGAGCCCGCGATACGGTCAGGTGATAACGGTCAGCGGATACCCTGTTTGACAGCTGTCAATTGATGACAACATTGATGTGCGATCAGCTTTCTCCTGGGCTCCCAAAGTAGCTAGAAAGTGTGAGAGTAAACATTTGTATGCCTGTGGTGCGGACGGACGGTTATGCCTGTGGTGCGGACGGACGGTCGGTCGGTCGCTCGGTCGGTCGGTAACGTGATTACCAAATTTTCTGGGATGGGTAGATTTATTTACCTATGGTGCTCCGCTTGCTCGCTTCGCGCGCGGAGCTTCGCTATTATTTATTGGAGAGAGTTTTTGTATTCAATCGTCTCAATATTTGACGGCATTTATTTGCATTAGCGAATGTTCTTAATTCGATACACGTGCACGGCAACCTGACAAAGAAACACAACCATTTTGCTTACCTTTTGCCCGCATTAACATCAGGTTTAAAGTAGGACGTAGGCCAGTAGCTGATATGTAGACAGGCATATTAAAACACGAACACATAAAAGTGTATTCTACAAAGGATCGACAGCGAAACGACTATAAAAGACAAAGCGGTGAGCGGTACTTGACTCAACTGTGTCATTTTCTCACTGCGTGTATCTTTTTCAAGGTATTCACAGCAGGACGTTTTGCTTACACACCCAAACAAATTTCCGTTTTTACAGGCAAAAGGTGTCATTTCTACAGCTCGCGTGGGGTGATTTTCACGCCCACTTACTTGCTTCGCTCGCTCTAATATCCATATAAAAAATTACAGTGAGATTGCCAAGAGCAAAAAAATATACCTTTTTATCCAGCCAGAACCGGCATGAATTTTTCATATTTTCAGCTAGCGAGGCGCTCATTTAGATTTCCCAGCCAGCTAATTTGCCAAGTTTTTTTTTTTTCCATCTAGCTCAAATTCTGCCTGAAGAGCGGGTATTTTGTCGAGCGGCTCCGTAGGGAACTCCTGGTTGATGCCCTGCCGCGTAGGTAAATGAGAAAAGCAAAAAACTAAAATGAATGCTTAGTCGGAGGCGTATACAGACTAAAACACTGTCATCATTGTCCGCAAAGATAACAAGTCAAGAGAGTCACTTAGGTGTATGCGAGTAGACTCAGCTAGTCATTCACTATATAATTGAACTAACACAAGCGGAGTCAAAAGTGTCACCAAGTTGATATCGACACCTAAGGGCACCCAACGAGTGATATGCTAGCCGTGTGATCAATCATACACTCTATATCACCTGACCTAGCGTGCATCTAAATTTGTTGGCATTTCTCGGTTTTGCTTCATGATCGATGTTCTCTACTACCACCATCGAGCCCAAACAGGGCAGAAATATGCATGACTCTTAAAATGTCATTTACCATACTGTGAGTTGCTGTACATGTGGTGTAGGAGAAAGTCGTTGTGTAATATATAGGGTTGAGCCCTTATTGATTTTAAAATTTTCCATAATCTTGTTATAGCGTGAAACACAGCTCTGTTATATAAAGTGAAGCAAAAAAAGGCAAGCCAAGACATTTTTGCTGTGTTGGAAGCTGCAATACGTTTGCGTGCAAATACGTAGATGGAAATCTTACGGATGGCTAGTTAAACTTCCGCAACTTAAGTTGCATCTTTAAAAAAGTGCTGAATTCTCAAGTTTGACGCCCTCCGGATGATTATAAATGCATTTCAAGGGTCTCCTTTTTTGTCTCCAAGGCCTACTTAGACATATGGCCCTTGAGCAGAGAGCTTGCTTACACTTACATTTGTAAAGTTTCTAAACTATAATTTTTATAGAACAAATTGACTATCTCTATCATGTAAAGGATCAGTGCCGATTCGATTAACTTTATTCCTCAAACCATATTCAATTTACTAATTTTAATTAGACCGCAATTTAGTTTTCTTGACAAACTACCTCGTTAATCAAGAACTATCGATCGACTCGAAACTTTATCTACTGCTGGTGACAATAGAACGTCAAAATAAGACCTCCTGGCCCGAAATCTTCAACCTCTACTCTCTTTATTCAACCTTTATTCAAAAATTTGTAGTCCTCCCATCATCTTCTTAGTCAATATCCGTAACTTCTTGGACAGATATTACTTTAAGCGTTGTAAATACTGATTTTTCGAGCCGTGTTATTCAGATACAAATACGGCATGAACATTAAAATTAATTATTCGGATTGATACGATTTGTAGTGTCAAAAGATTATGTTTAACAGCTGTTTCTTTCTTTATTTGGTTCAGTTTTAGTTTTCGCTTTGCTTCAACTGGCCAACGCGCAAAACAGTAAGTCTCTGTGAAATTTTATTTGTGTTATTATTATTATTATTATTATTGTTATGAAGTTTTTGCTTGAAAGACCGGTGAAACAACCGGTTTTGGATAGTCTTTTTAACTACTTAACTAAGAGGGTGCTAATGGGGGTACCCAGTTCTCAGTTAACTACTAATTTTTCGGCCAAGAATCAGTTAACTACCATTTTTTTGGCCAATTCTCAGTTAACTACTAATTCTAGGTACCTATCAACTTTCACTTTCCTACAGCGCATATTATTCCGTCATAACCCGAATTTTCTTTACTTCTGCAGGTCAATCAATTTTGGGGGTAGGCCCTACTAAATTCAGGTTTAAACTTACATGAATTCACATAAACTCCGCCACTATAGTACCATTTATAATTAAATCTTACCGAAGTAATAAAAATGGGTAAGCGATAGCTGTTAAGACTCCTATTAACCAATTTTTGCTGTAAGCACAAATCATATTGAGTCGTATAAACCATCAACGTACATCCAGATGCACCGGTCATGATCTCGTACTGATCTTCCCGACCTGGTCATGCATATTTCCTGCTACACACTTCTCCAAAGTCACCTTCTTCGTCACTTTTAGTTCATTATCTGAATCAGTCTCGTACTTAACTAGTTGCTGTATATCCTGTATCTTGTTGTTGCCTAAGTTTCAATCAATTTTCAATCCTTGCAATCCATTGCAAAAGAAAGACGACGAGAAACAATATTAATGTTAAAATATCGTCTTAAATAACAAAACTGGACCAATATTTTGGGCATTCAATTGATGCATAAAAAAAAGTTTTAGCTTGTTAAAAAGGTAGCAAATAGCATGACATAGTCCCGTGACTCTGGTGGTTAAGATCCCGCTTTATCTTGAGTTGATTCGCTTCTTATAGTTCGTTGTTAAACAGGTCGAAAGTTCTCTATCCAGTCCCTTATTACAACTTCATCTTCTTTTCTCACTGTTTGCACCGATGGGAGAGACAGTTTAGACTGCTGACAAAGCCATGAAAGTATTTGATACTGGACAACTCGACTCTTTGTGAGTGTAGCCCACTTCGAATTCCTAGTTCTCTTAAGAGATTCTTTCACTGTGGTTCCAAAGTCTTGGGCATAGTTCAAAGCAGTAAATGTTTTGTGTTGAAGTGAGAAATCGCGGTTTTCCACCTGCTTGTCAGAAGTTTTTTGTACTTCGATACAGACTTCGTCGACATCCTCTTTCGCGTCCCTCAATGTTACCTTTACAAACATTGTTTCGCGTAAGTAAAAATTCCACGTATTTAAAAAAAAACGCTGTTTTCTTTGAGCTATCAGAACTTTTTTTGGCCAGATCCAATGCCGGCTAAGAGTCACAGCTTGTTTCTTTTGTTAGCAATGTTTAACTTGGCGACGATCTTTGAGTTGTCTACAACCAGCTCTATGACTGACGCTTTCTGTTTGCCGGGTACTGCTCTGGTGCCTTTTTGCATATACTAATATCAGTTAATGTACCACCAGGTTATCAATAGGACTAACCTGAGATCAGGCTTTATTTTCGTTTCGCTTTGAAAATTACACTCCGGCGGGCAATTGCAAGGCGAAACGAAAAGAGAGCCTGATACAAACCTTCTACGAAACGTCTGCCGCCCACTTTTTTGATTGATTGACATTTGCCGAATCAGCCAACCAAAATTACTTCCGTTGCTTGTAATTCTAGTATGCAAATTTTTCACGCGTGGGAAAAATGCAGACTGGCTGACTTAAAAAAATAGCTTTTATCAGGGACGCCCAGCGACAATTTTCGGAAAACATCTGTTTGGAAGACGATTTGAGATCTAGAATTTTCGGGACATTTTTTCCAACATTTCTTGCTTGTCTTCCTTTCCTAGGATTTTCGAACATTTAAAAAAATGGTATAATTGCCCATTTTTAACCGATTTTTATCCTAAAAAGGACACCTACAATTTTCGGGAGCCTTTTTTCTGGCTGAAATTTTCGAAAAGGGTTTTGATCCCTATAATTTTCGAATCACTAGACTTTCAGCTAGGAAATCCGAACAGATGAAAAATTTTTAGGGGATAAAAATATGCCTATATCTACCGTTTTAATACTAAAATACCTTTAATAATGCTATGTTTAAGTGGTTTTGAACTATATTCTCGTTTTTTTATTTTTTTGTTGCCTTAATATTTTCCTCGGCAATTTTCCCCGATTTTCAGTACATAAATCTTTAAAAACAAAAGCAAACAGCCAACGAGTGAGGACAACAGTTTTCCTGGTTTATATTTTACAAAAAGCGAAGGCAATCAACCAGTCTGTTACCTTAAGCCACAAGCTTTTATAACAATGCCTACAAAAATTCCTTGAACAGCGATGCGATATTTTTCGTCTAATACTTCACAGTTGGCGATGGAGGTTTCTTTCGCAGTGAGCCTCCGCTTGCGTACCCCGTTCAGAGAAGTCATTCCCAGCTAAACTTTCAGATGAAAGCAGTTTTTAGATGAACAGTATTTGGATTTGCACTCGTTTGTTGGTAAATCAAAAGGCACCTTGTTAGCAGTCAACAACTTACAGAGGGATTCAACTCCGCGATACACTCACATTAATTCCGTAAATAAAGCAAATTCTGAGAAGATGTGAACAACCATATGAATTTTCTGAACTTCCATGGCACATATTAAGGCATATTTTCCTTCCATAAGACCATAAACAATAAAAAAGACAGCAAAATCGATCCTTCTCTCAGCCGACGACGGATCATTCACGAAAACAACCACGCGAGGAATAAGTGCTTTCAACTTCCGGTGTCTCCGACAGCCAATTAGATCCTGTGGCATTGTTCTAACAGCCAATCAGCGTTACGGTCAAAATCTGGCTGTAACGAGCACAAACGTGAGAGAGTTTGTATCAGGCCCAATTTTAGCGGTAGCCGTTAGAGAGAATGTATGAGAACCGCTAAAATTGGGCCTCATATCAGGTTACAGTGGAACAGAAGAAAATCAGAAAATAGCATTTCTGTTTGGAAAACTTTGCTGCTTTCATTAACATTAACGATCGTATTCAGTATAATTGATAGAATCTCACTTAACTGTTAACTTTTCATTTCTCAGTTAACTACTAATTTTGTGGCCAATTATCAGTTAACTACTGTTTTTTTAGGCCAAATATCAGTTAACTACCAACCCCATTGGCACCCTCAATTAACATAATATACTTCGGCTGGGTCTTTGAAAAGGGATTTAAAAAATATTTTATTAGAATTAATGTACCATTTTTTCTTAAATTATGGTTATGCTAAATAAAATCACTATAATTACTCCTTACAGCTACTTTAGTACCCAGTCTTCTGAAAGATCCTCCGATGTTGAGTTGCACTAACAATAGGAAATAAGTGTTAGCACAACTCAAAACCTTAAACGTCGACAAAACGGCTTCCAAATGGCTTTAGAAGAAAATTAAGAAACAGTAAATAACAGAACAAAAACACAAAGTGAGTCATTTTAATTTAATTTTTTGTCAAAACATGGAATTTAGGACGTATTTTGTTTATTTTCATACATTCTCTTCTAAATCCAAAGTCCAACGACCTCCCACAGAGTTTGGGTTGCCTGTGGTGAAATTTAAAAGGTTTGCCAATTCCAGATTCCCCCGTTCCAGATTCCTCCCTTTCCAAAAACCGTCAACAAAAATGGCGGATGTGGTAAATTTGAGTCAGCTCTCTCCTCAACCACTTTGGCTCTCTTCTTCGTTACTGTAAAACCATGACCACCTTGACAATGGTGGTTGCAAATCTTCATTCTTAAGCACAGAACAATTTGAGAGTGGCATCAGTATCCTGGATAATATGGCAAATTCTCGTTCCTCACACCGACCGTAACTTACTAGCTGCCAAGTATTTTAACACAATTAATTAGCTGAAGGACGAAACTATATAATGATGTGAAACAGGGCCCTCAAAGGTGAGCCTTTTCTGCGAGTTAATTATTTAAATCGCTGTGGCTATATGGCCGGTTTTAAACTGGTCAAGGTTACTAGAATGACCGGCAGTCCACTCCTATTTTGTAACCTTAACTTTCATAACTAACTATCATATGTTGATGAAGAAAAGGCAAGCGAAATTTACTGATAAGGTAAATAAAATTGCCTTCTATAGAGTTATTACTAATAAATTTTAAATCAAATTGTACATAACCTTCAGTGGGAATAAATCCATCTTTTATTTGAAACATATGCGCAGTAACAAATAAGGAACAACCGGCAAAACATATTTGCAAGTTATATTTACAAGACAATGTGAATTGTCGTTTCTATGTACAATAAAATGTAGTTATAAAGAAATTACATGTATTTGTGGGGTTCAATTAGCCCCGGAAACCAAGCCATCTACAATTAAGAAACAATTTAATTTTGCAGGGGATCCTTAATTCAAAGCAACATCAGGGAAAAGCATTAGTCCAAACACGTTTATAGATAGGAAGATTTAAAGTAGTATGAGAGCTAAATGTCATGTTTTCTTGAAAATTATTTCAGCATTGAGACTGGTTGGAGGATCTAGCAGCTGGGAAGGAAGAGTCGAAGTATTTTATAATAACCAATGGGGAACAGTTTGTGATGATTACTGGGATATAAATGATGCCCGTGTTGTTTGCCGTCAGCTTGGGTATCCTGGCGCTATTAGTGCTCCAGGGTCTGCCCGATTTGGGGCTGGAAGTGGTCCAATTTGGCTGGATGATGTGAATTGTCAAGGCAGCGAAACTTCAATTGGCTATTGTAGGCATAGAGGATGGGGCATCGAGAACTGTGGTCACTATGAAGACGCTTCAGTAGTATGTTATGGACTAGGATCTGGAGGTTAGAACATGCATGCTTTCTAAAATAAGATGCAAGTGACTAAAAGCTGTTAAAAATATCCCAGTTTTAGCTTCTTTGCCCAGCAAAATAAAAAATAAAAAAATAAAAAAAAATAAATAATAATTCATTAAATAAATAAACAAATATTTAGTGATGAAAGTTGACGCACAATGTCACAAAGGCACGATTTTTCCGACTGCTCAGAGGTCATTTTCAAGTGCAAGTAAAATACAAAATAATAGTTTTCACTGTATTTACTTATTGTAAGATATTTAATTATCCTAATTTTGTACTTTACTCTTACTTGAAAATGACCTCAGAGAGATTGTAATGTTGTGACTAGACTTTTCAGTATTAACTTTTATCACAAAATGCATATCCAAGAAATTTCAAATGGAAGTAATAGATAATAATAATGATTATAATAGTTATAATAGTTATTAGTAAGTTTATTATAATAATAATAGTGGTCGTGGTAGTGATACAGAAAATTGCTAGTGTATATGCCTAAAGGGCTCTAAAAATCTTATGAATTGCAAAACATGAATTTGTAGCAACTCTAGGTGTTTCACTCAGTATTTTGCAGAATTGTGTAGAATTTTAAAAATAGTGTGCTTTCTTGCATCCATGCACCCTGTAAATAGCCCTGCTTAGACCTATATGACGAAGTAAATCTCTATCATATGATCTGTTTTGTTGTTCAAAAATAAAATATTTACTTTTCATGATCATCACTGAAGGTCTTTCTCGAAATCTTCCCCTCTAGGTTGCTCCAGGACAATAAATGGAACGTATGGAGATATTGACATTAACAGTACAAGCGGCTACTATGAAACGTGTCAGTGGACCATACTAAGTGCCAGTATACCCCAGGCCGTGGCTTTGGTTTCCGTACAAGAACTAAACCTCGTCTCTTGCAGGTAAACTGAGTGACGTCATAAATTCTCGTAAGAAAAGAAGTGAATAGAAATAAGTTGTAGTTCTTTGTGAATCTGAATAGCAGATGATAATCTTACTGGAAAAGAAAAGTGATGTCTAGAGGTATAAAGTCAAGACAATTTTACTGTACTAGAACTGGCTAACAAAATGCAAATTCCAGCACTTGATGGATAGGACCTTCTGTAAAATAGGTCATTCTCAACAATGTTGTATTTTGAATTTCCTGGAGGTTGATGTTTCATTGACATTTCACTGATTAACTTCTCTGGACCTTTCTTAATAACTCCTAACTCCTAATTATTATTATTATTATTATTATTATTATTATTATTAATATTATTATTATTAATATTATTATTATTATTTTGGTGAGCAAAATGCATGCCCGCAGTCGTATTCTTGGTGGGGTGGTCAGCGGCAGTTTCTTGATGTAAAGGTACTTTTAGGTACGTCGAGTAAGCATCATATAGTGGTTCCCCGTTAGTTAATATATCGTATACATTGCTCTACATAGCTTTACATAGCCGTACACACTGCCCTACATAGCCCTACATAGCCATACACAGCCTTATTTGTCTGACATGTTTGACGTTAATACAAGCTGGCTCAGTTATGACCCTCGCTGTTCTGGAATGAATTTAATAGTGCCAAAAGCAAGAACAAAGTATTTCAGGAATAGTTTTGCTTCTGCAGGCGCTAAGCTCTGGAATTCTCTTCCTTCCAGTTTAAAGGAAGAGACTTCCTTAAAACAATTTATGGCTAAGATCAGGTCGTATTTGCTATCTACACAAGCCTCATAATTTAAGCTTTTTATCATTAGGTTTAACATTGTCTCATTACCTATATCTTTATGTAAGTTAAATAATGCACGGCTTTTAGGTAGAACAGATGCTTTATGTAAAGTTATTTGATAAAATTACTGTGGGTAAATAAAGTTTTCACTCACTCACTCACATAGCCCTACATAGCCATACATAGCCATACACAGCCTTACATAGCCCTACATAGCCCTACATAGCCATACACAGCCATACATAGCCCTACATAGCCATACATAGCCATAAACACCCATACACAGTCCTACATAGCCCCACGTAGCCCAAATAGCCATGCACAGCCCTACACAGCCCTGCATAGCCCTACATAGCCATACATAGCCCTACATAGCCCTACATAGCCATATATAGCCATACATAGCCCTACATAGCCTCTTCAATCATCTTCAGGTCTGATGATCAATCTCTTAATTCCAAGATTGATGAGGTAAATCGGCGGCTCTCTTCTTTTTGTAAGAGTAAGAACTGCGTTTTTATTGATAACAGTAACATCAAAGAGGACTCTCTTAATAGAAGTGGATTGCATTTAAGGTGATTCCATAGTAAAAGATCCTAACATAGATTTTAGCTAAAACTTGGTACACTGATGTAATAAGTCAAGAAGATGATAAAAAAGTAATAAAAAGTGGGGGTCACCGTGCTCGTTTTGACGTCACAATGCTGACAAATACGGCTATTTAGGACCCTTTTACAAAAACCGCAGGCAGCGCAAAACTAGACAAAAAGGAGAGATTTTTTTCGATGATGCATGTGACATCACACAGAATTTGACTTTAATGTTTTGTTTATCCACTTACATACCAGAAAAATGCCTTTTTATGCCCTTGTTTTTACTTTACGCTCCAAAGTAGAATTAAATTGGACGCGCGCTTTTCGACCCGTGATGGCTTAATTCGTACAATTTAGTAAAATTGCCAAAAACCTGAACATAGATTTGTGCCAATTTTTTTCTCATCGAAAGGAAGCACTGTCCTTATTAAAATCATGAAAAAAAAAATGGGGGTAGAGCTGCAGAAAGTGCGCACCAAACGCATTTTCTCCGATTTTTGAGAGAGGATTGCAGCGAGTTTGAAAATAGAATGTATGTGAAAGGGGGAAGAAAGTATTAAAAAATCCATTTTTACAGAATTTACAACGATATATCACATTTAGGACACAATGTGATAAAGAAAGTGTTTAAATGAAAATCAAAGTTAGTAAGCATAAGTTAAACATCTTCTATCGAACAGGAGGGCATTTTGCATGCGCATGCGTGAATCCGCTGAATGACAATAGCGTGGGCGCATCAAATCTGATGGCGGGAAATCGAAAACTCGCGCGTAAAGTTACAGTCCTTTTAAAAGCCATTTCGCTGGTGCTTTGAATACCGCACTTTCCTTCAAAAAATGTTCTCCTTCACAAAAATCAGACGTTTTCTACGCGGGTTTTCACTTGTAGATTTTTCAGCAGTAGGTTTCCTTGGCCTTTTAAAGACTTTCAAGACTCAACGCCAAAAAGTCATGTTCCTGTATAAGTCTGATTTTCACTGGCAAAGCAATGCATTTCTATGGTTTGATTTCCAAACTCGTGGTTTTACGCATCAGGGAGGAAATGCATCGTAGCAATGTTCAGCTGCTTTAGGGCAAAAAGCGAAAAAAAAATTACCACGCAAGGTTTATTTATTAGCGCGATGTCTCATGTTAAACTGATCGCGAAGACAAGCGTTTATATATGCCACAAAAACGTGAAATCTATGGGGTTTTTACAGTTTTTTGAAAGTTTTCGCGGAAAAATTTATAAAAAATATTCTATAGGAAATGAAGAATGGACTGAGCTTGAGACAGAAACAATTACAAGTGATTAGGTAGAACATAATCACTTGAGCATTTCTAAGCTCAGTTGCAGACAAAACGAATGCACGCATACTCCGAAAAAACGAACAGTACTTTTATTTTTCTTTATACAAAGATTTTTCCTAAGCTACTATTTTGAAAGTACTCTTGAGTGACAGCTCCTGTGCTCCACAATCGATTTCTTGTTATTAATCTGTATTTGATGACAGTAGTGATCCATTCAAAACAGAGAATGGCCATCACTCCATATAAATCTAAATGACGATGTTGTTCACCTTCAAAGCCTGTTTGAACATAAGATAGGAAGTTTGTTAAAGGGTGCATATAATGCTGTTTCCGACAACAAACATGACACAAATGGATGGATAAATTTGTCTGTTCTTAATGTTTCTGTTGAGAGCTTTTTACTGTATCCAGATGAACCCCTTATGTAAGTTGTACATCATGGAAGAATTATCAAGCAGAAACTGATGCACTAAACAAGAATGTGGTTCAATACAGAGGAGAAGCTGGTCTCAGTCAACATCCTTCGTGAATGAAATGTCTCACAAATTAACATATCAACAAATGTAGTATCCACAAAATGGTATCATTTAGGAATAAATGCGATTTTTTGGCAACAGAAGCCAGGATTTATTTAAAAGGTATATTGATAACGTTTCATTTCGTGCTATTTTGGGGTTGGGGAGTTAGGCTAGATTTTCTTTAAAACGCCAAAATGTTATATTTATTTGCATAATGAAATGTAAACAAACAGTGTACCATCAAAATATGGTGGAAAAAAATCAGAATTCAAACCGATTGCTGTAATTTTTTTCCTTTGTATAAGTAAATGATAGAATATTCTTATTTTCAAAACACCATCTTACTGGCATCATTATATTGATTTAAATTTATAGTTGAAGTGCGTGTATTTTATTTCTCAACGAAGACGTACCGGAGAAGAAAGCTAAAATTATTACAGAAGGCGATTTTTCACAGCCTTCGTCAAAGCGCCCTTCATTCGCGGAAGTATTCTTAGTTTCATTAATCATTAACTTAATCTGGGGAGAAAGGCAAGATTTCGAGATAAACAAGCCAGAGAAAGGGTGAAAAACAGTTTCACGGCAGAATGGACATTTAATTAACCACTGTATTCCTCGAAACGATTAAGTTCGATTTTAGAGTTATACTATTGAGAAGAATTAAGTATCTATAGGATAATTGTTCGAGGAAAAACTATCATACTGACCTTTTCCTCCTGCTCAAAAAATGTGCGCGAAATGTTAGGTGGTAAGAACATTCAGCCGCCATCTTGTCTTCGATGTACTGTTTTACGAAAGGAAAGACTGTCCTTTCAAGGGCGACAGCGAGGCTACAATAAACTCACTTTCATCGTAAAAAATACCACGATACCTT